AGACAAAAAGTGGGTTTTTATATTTAATTGGTAGGTGGTTGACCTCTGTGACATTACCGAGCAGGCAGAGTGATGGAGATGGAGGCTACAGCTACAGCTCAAGATGGTAGAGAGTTTCTCTGTCACTGCTACCCAGAGGGAGTAAACGGGTTGGCAGGTCCAAGTAGCATGGAAGTAATTATTAACACAACCCAGAGTGCATTGTGAGCAAGTATCTGTATCACTGAGACCCATTTTAAACATTTTACCTTGTGCAGTAGGAGTCCTGTGATGCTTTGCTTTCTAAGTAGCTTCCCCAACACTGGTTGTTATTATAATATGTTTAATACATTTCCAGTTTGTCATCTTTCCATTAGCTGTAACTGTAATCTTTTAGAAATATAACGTGTCTTTATGCTCAGAGGGGGTGTAATCCTTTATGTTGTATACTGGGTTGTGTTTTAAAAGAGCCAGCAAGTTGGATATTCACTGAACAGTGGGGAAATACCATTCTGACATGTAATAAAGTTCCATGTTTGACTCACCCTGTACTATTGTGCAGAAAAACTAAACAAAGACAAGCAAAAATAAAGCTGCTGGGATTTTTAAACATGATGTAGCAGTACTTGCATTATAGGTCCTTAATATTATTATTATTATTAGTTTTCGGCCTTTTTTAATCATTCCATTATTGTTCTGTCACACTTAGACGCTGAAGTTAACTTCCGAACCCAAAAGCTACAGTCTACATGCTTGCACTCTACAGTACCTGTATATCTTCTACAGATATTTATAGCAAGTCTTTTATAATCGGCTAGTGGTGTTTGATCTATGGCTGGTGTAATATGGTCTGGGTGGGAAAATTTAGCTTCCCCCATGCGTACTCGGAAGATAATTGCAGTGTCGTCGGAGAGGAATGAGCAGTGCTGAAAGAAGTATTCGGATGCTTTACGTAAGTAAAAATAGCAATACAACAGTGTTGAAATACTCTGTTACAAGTAAAAGGCCTGCATTCAAAATGTTACTTACGTAAAAATACAAAAGTATCAGCATCAAACATAATTAAAGTACTAAAAGTAAAAGTACTCATAATGCAAAATGGCACATTTCATATTCCTGTATATCACATCATTGTGTTATAATTACTGATGCATTATTGTGTACGTCACATTTAATGTTACAGCCGGTAAAGAGGGAGCTAGTTTAACTAGCTTATAGGCATTTAATTTGAATTACTGCTGGATATTTTGTGAATTTTACACAATAGATCAATGAGATCTTATAATTATTCTGTATTTTATAATTATACGGTTGTTTTGTATTAGTCTGGTTCTGAAAAGTAACTAGTAACTAAAGTTATACAAGTAAATGTAGTGGAGTAAAAAGTACATTTGCCTCTACAATTTAAAGAAGTCAAAGTATGAAGTAACTAAAAATGAAAATGCTCACGTAATGTACAGATGCCACAAAATTGTACTTAGGTGCGGTACTTCCAGTACATTTATTTAGTTACTTTCCACCACTGGGAATGAGCACAAATGATGCACATATACTGTAGTGGTGGATTTATCTGTTTTCACACATGGGTTAATGGTATTTAATGACAATAATTGCTCTTTCTGTGGCAAAGGGGATGTGATTTAAAGATCTGTTTGTTGTAACATTTATGTTAATTTCACTTGCACTTTTTAAAATGATGTTTGCAGTTTAGAACAACAAAGTACACATTTTTTATAGTTATTTTCATCTGCATAGAAAAAGTTAGCATTTCAAAATATAAATTTTATATCAAAGAAGTAAAATTCCATACATAAATTGCAGCAATACACAAGGTTTCAGCAATCTACAAACCTTGAAGTCTTAAAAATTTATTATATGTAGCCTACTATATAAACTGTACAGGCTAATTGTCTTAACTGCTGAGCCTTATTTGCGTTTAATTTTTGATAACCCTTGGAATATGAAATATTGAAATTCAAATGTTGGAGACAAAAGCTAGCTACACTAGCTGCTGTCTACTGTCATATAGTAATTTAGCCAATGGATGGCAGTAGTGCACCCTGAAGTGCTGCTGTCGTTACATTCGTGGAAGAGGAAGAAGAAGAAGGAAAAAATATTGG